CCTTCATTCTGACTCCAGTCTCTCCAAGGAAACATAGTTTTGTGTGTTTGTTTTAAACAGTTTACCAGAAGACACTTGTGTCAATTAAGCTTGTCTCCTTTCCAACCTCATCTTCTGTACCTGGCACAGTGGTGCTGGGACCAGGAGTTCACAAACCAGATTTGAGCTTCGCCAGCTGCCCACTGTTAGGGGGCGCCAAAGGAAGACTGGAAGCCTGGAGAACTAAGAAGGGATTGCTCCTTCCTGTTTGCTTATGGAACTTTCTGGGGGCTTCCTGTTGACTTGCATCTTCTGTGAGGGCACCCACCAACACTTCTTCACCTCAGCAGAGGCAGAGCCTTTCTGCAGCTCCGTGGAGTCCAGTTTGCAGTTTGGCCAGCGCTTGAAGAGCCAGCTTCATTTTCCTCCCTGAGAGACATCAGGACCAGCTGGGCAGCAGCTTTCCCTCAGGTATGAGTTAAGCCCCAGGGAGCCCTTTATGTAAGTGTTTAAGTTTTTATGATCTCCCCTCTTCCCTATGTTCCCTCAGCCTCACAGGTGGAAGCTGTTCTTTGCATCTGCTACCTCTGTGAACCCTCAGAGTTCCTCTTTTTAAACTTTAAGTAACCTCATCCATAACTTTAAACCCAATTGCAACTTTAAAATTTTAAATTCTGTCTATACAGACAACTGGTGTGTTTTCTGTTTCCTGACTAGAACCTGACTAACTGGTCAAGGAAACAGATCCTCAAAGATGGAGTTTAGGGCTTGGTTTGGTTTGAATGCAGATCTGGACTCCCCACCAATGAGAAGGTGGATGCTGGTAGCCCATGGTGTCCATTGGTATCACAGTGAGTCAGATTATCTCATTTACTAGACTATGAACTGGGGAAAGGAAATACCCAGAATTTGGGAGATTACTAGATACTGGCTCAGTTGATGCTCACTCCTAGAACCTAAAATACTCTACTAAATACAATGTGGAGACTGACGGTGATAGATGGAGTTTTAGCCCAAGTTAAATTCACAGTATGCCCTCCAGATTTACTGACCCACCTTGTGGTTGTTTCCCCAGTTCTTAAATATATGATTGGAATAGATATGTTTTGTCAACTGAGAGATTCCCCACATTGTCTTCTGATCCATGAAGTAAGCACCATTAAAGTAGAAAGGACCAGGTGGAAGCACCCAGAACTTATTTTTCTCACCAGGATAATAAACCAAAAACAACATTGCACGCTTGGGGGAATTGCAAAGGTGAATGATACCATCAAAGACTTGAAAGAAGAAGAGGTGTTGATACCTCTTACATCCTCTATTTATTTATTTATTATTTTATTATTATTTTTTTTGAGATGGAGTCTTGATCCATCACCCAGGCTGGAGTGCAGTGGTGTGATCTCAGCCCACTGCAACCTCCACCTCCCAGGTTCAAGTGATTCTAACTGCCTCAGCCTCCCAAGTAGCTGGGATTACAGACACACTCCACCATGCCTGGCTAGTTTTTTTGTATTTTTAGTAGACATGGAGTTTCACCATGTTGGCCAGGCTGCTCTGGAACTCTTGCCCTCAGGTGATCTGCCCACCTTGCACCTCCCACAGTGTTGGGATTACAGGCATGAGCCACTGCACCTGGCCACATCCCTCATTTAGCTCACCTTTATGGCCTGTGCAGATGGCAGACTGATCTTGGAAATGACTGGTTATCTTACACTGAAACAAATAATGACTCTACTAGCAGCTGCTATTATTTATTTATTTAGAGACCGAGTCTCATGCTGTCACCCAGGCTGGGTTGCTAGGACATTGAGAAATATTAAGCAGAGGAGGACATGTATCCTTCAAAAGCTGTAGGCAGGGCCAGGTGTGGTGGCTTGCGCCTGTAATCCCAGCACTTTGGGAGGCCAAGGTGGGTGGATCACCTGAGGTCAGGAGTTCAAGACCAGCCTGGACAAATGCTTTTTTCCCCTCCATATCAATATGTAAGGACAAACAGAAATAGTTTGCTTTTACTTATTAGACCAATGGCACCCCTCATTAGACCAGTAGTTCCCCTTATTAGACAAATGAAGCTCCTTTGGTCTGAGGCAACAATCTTGCCTTGCAGTTACATGGACTCACCTGTACTCTGCCATATGGAGTCTGCAAAAATCCTGACCCTTTTTATGTTCCACATGTCACGCCGGTCCACTGCATCAATGACATTATACTGATGGTATCTGATCTGATGAGTAGGAAATAGTTGTACTTTAGATGCTTTAGTAATCACCATGCAAATCAGAGAGTAGGAGATAAGTCCCATCAAAATTTAGGGGCATGCCACCTCAGTAAAGTTTCCAGGGGACTAATGGTCTGGAGCATGTCTGGATAGCCCCTCCAAAATGAAGGATAAGGTGCTGTACCTTGAACCACCTACCAGTGAAAAATAATGTCTGGTGGATCTTTCTGGATCTAGAAGCCAACGTACAGTTTATTTCTTTGTGTTACTTTGACCTTTTGCCAAGCGAGGCAGAGATGCTACCTACTTTAATTGAGGACCAGAATAAGAGACTGTTCTGCAGTAATTCCAGCGCTACAGGGCAAACTGCTCTTCCACTTCAGCCTAATATAACCCAGCATATCTGATAGTGCTTGGTGTGTCTGTGGCAAATATCACTGCTGCCTGAACCCTGTGGTTAGAATCAGCAAGATAACTGAGTACAGGTCTCTAGGGATTTGAAACATACCCACATCCTCTTGTAGTCAGTCCCTTTTAACACTTAATCATGGGACATCAAGTAACCACGCAGGCTGAGCTTCTCAGAATGAACTGGGCATTTTCTGTCCCAGGAAGCCATAAGATTGGGCATATGTATGGCAGTCTTTCACCAATCTATCATCTTGGCCCACTGAGGTCCAAAAGGCATGAGAAGGTTCTTGTTTAGGTGACTTAGGCTCCCTTAATACAGACTTCTGCTGAATTGCCTCTTCTGTCCCCTTCTCTAAAAGCAAAAGCCTAGTTTCAGTTATCCTCAATTTATTTACACATTTGTTCAGTCCCCATTATGCAAATAATAAAATGACTATGGGTATCTGCTCAGCTCTCGGCCACACACAGTGGATATGCAGACGAAGTTCTCATTTAATGTATAGTTCAAAAAGCTCTACTCATACTGAAAATTAAAAAGATTCTAGTAGAGTTCAAGAAAGGGGCAGCAACTGAAAATATCTTTAAAGAAAACACCCAAGAAACTCAAACTGAATGCAATACTATGCACTTATGTGTACTGTGCCAAATGATTTAAGATTTGACACAAATTAGGCTTGGTGCAGTGGCTCACACCTGTAATCCCAGCACTTTTGGAGGCCAAGGCAGGCAAATCACTTGAGGCCAGCAGTTCAAGACCAGTCTGGCTAACATGGTGAAACTCCATCTCTACTAAAAATACAAAAGTTAGCTGGGTGTGGTGGCCTGTGCCTGTAATCCCAGGTGCTCTGGAAGCTGAGGCAGGAGAATTGCTTGAACCCAAGAGGCAGAGGTTGCAGCATGCCACTGTAATCCAGCCTGGGCAACAGAGTAAGACTCTACCTCAAAAAGAAAAGAAAAAAAGATTTGATACAAATGTGGGTAAATAAGGACAAAAGAGGCTTCTATGAACATTCTTGCACAATGGGGATACATTCAGTGTTGGGCTGATCCTGAGCAGCAGTGTTATCAGATGCTGTTAGCATTCTTTCCGTTTTGGTTCAGAATTTTGCCCCTTTGTTGCTACATATTTCAGTAGGGAGCCCTGGCAGCTGTTGGTTAACAGATGTCTTTGTTAGGGAGCAACAATCACAATCAAAGCTACCATCAAATATACTTTGTGACAGCCTGGGGGATTAAAACAAGGAAAAAGAGTCAGCATAACTCCATTGCAAATGTCTCTTTCTTAAACTTTATAAAATGGTACAAATTATGCATGTAGCTATTCACTACTCCTGGTACATTAAACTTACTAGCACTTTTTTTTTTTTTTTTTGAGATAGAGTCTCACTCTGTCTCCCACGCTGGAGTGCAGTGACACAATCTTGGCTCATTGCAACCTCTACCTCCTGGATTCAAGCAATTCTCATGCCTCCCAAGTAGCTGGGATTACAGGTGTGTGCCACCACACCACCCTAAGTTTTGTGTTTGGTAGGGATGGGGTTTCGCCATGTTGACGAGCTTGGTCTTGAACTCCTGACCTCGGGTGATCCACCCACCTCAGCCTCCCAGAGTGCTGGGATTATAGGCCACCACGCCTGGCCATAACTCACACATAGTGACTAAGCAATAGTAGCTAGATAGCCTAGCAATGGTAGCTTTTCATTTTCTAGTAATGCACACATTTTGGCCCTGGCTCCTGATACAAGGTTCTTTTGTGTACTTAAGCTCACTTATGGATGCATCGCTTTCAAAAGCCAGGAATTTAGGAAAGGTTCATAACATTTTTATAGAACCCTAAGCTTCTCGAAGGGTAAAATCTAGTAAAATTTCTCTAAAGAATTGGCCAGGCATGGTGGCTCAAACCTGTAATCCCAACACTTTGGGAGGCCATGGTGGGTGAATCACTTGAGGTCAGTAGTTTGAGATCAGCCTGGCCAACATGGTGAAATGCTGTCTCCACTAAAAATATAATAATTAGCTGGGTAGGTGGCACACATCTGTAGTCCCAGCTACTCGGGAGGCTGAGGCAGGAGAATCATTTGAACCTGGGAGGCGGAGGTTGCAGTGAGCCGAGATCACACCATTGCACTCCAGCCTGGGTGACAGAGTGAGACGGTGGCTCAAAAAAAAAAAAAAAAAAAAAAAAGCTGGGGGTGTGGCGGCTCATGCCTGTAATCTCAGCACTTTGGGAGGCCAAGGCTGGTGGATCATGAGGTCAGGAGTTCAAGACCAGCCTGGCCAAGAGGTGAAACCCCATCTCTACTAAAGATTCAAAATTAGCAGGGTGTGGTGGTGGGTTCCTGTAATCCCAGCCACTTGGGAGGCTGAGGCAGGGAATTGCTTAAACCTGGGAGGTGGAGGTTGCAGTGAGCCGAGATTGCACCACTGCACTCCAACCTGGGTGACAGAGTGAGACTCTGTCTAAATAAATAAATAAATAACATTCTGAAACTCAGCAGCTTACAACAACAAGTATTTACTATATCATGCTGATTCTAAGGGTTAGGAATTTTGGAATGGCTTTGCTGGGTGTTTCTAACTCAGAGTCTCCTGCAGGCTGCAGTCAAGATGTTGAAATGGCACTACATTATCTAAAGGCTTGCCTAGGGCTGAAGGATCTGTTTCCAAGATGGCTCACATGGCTCTTGGCAGGGGCCTTAGTTTTTCACTATGTGGGTCTCTCCACAGGCAGTCTGAATGTCCTCACAGTGTGGCAGCTGGCTTTCCCCAGAGCGAGTGACCTAAGAAAGAGCAAGACAGAAAAGCCACAGTATCTTTCATAGCCTCATCTTGAATAGAGGTTGTATTCTATTGATCACATAGATCAGTCATGACACAGTGTTGGAGAAGACTACACAAGGGCATGGAAACCAGAGGCAGGAATTACTGATGGGCAGGAATCTTGAAAGAAGCTGGCTGCCACAGTGATTGCCTTTTATGCATCGATTCTACCTCCTCCTTTCTCCAAGTCACTGTAGTTAAGCTTCTGAGAACCAGGCTTAAGGAGCCAGTTTGAGATTGGTTTAATGGAGATTTGGTTTATGAATCTTAGGATGATGTTGAAGTAGACCAAGAACTGTGTAAATAACTTTAGTTGGAAAAATTAATACTGTACATTTCCACTCCAACCCCGAAGATCCTAGTGGGACCATGGATCTGTTTGGAGATATAGAAGACATTTCTTCTGAGAGTGATGAGGGCAATCAATCACCTATTCCAGGACAGCCGGTTGTAAGTACAATCACCAATATCAACCAATCCCATTATTCAAAGCTAAAAAAAAAAAAGCTTCAGAGGGTGATGAGTGTGTCTCTCTCATGTTGAGAGAGGACATGGATAGCTGAACATCTGATGAACAGGTGATTTTCTTAGCTATACTGAGAATTTCTGGGTATAAGAAGGCACAGAAGGAACTACTCAGAATGAGGTTGATGCCAAACTTCAAGGGCTAGACTGTAAGGAGTCATAATGTAAAAACCTTTGATTTAAAAGTTTTTCTTATTCAAGCCTGTGACAAGAAGCATGAGCTATGTTGATATTCTCTGATTTTAATAGTTGCCTAGTATTGAGGGGGTGAATAATTTCACGCTTCTGTTGCTGAATATATTATGCAAAATATTTATGTCAACAAAATAGATACTTATACATTTTTCTAGTAATACAGGCTAACAGATCTTGTTTCTCATGTTTTTTCTGCTTTTTCTTTTTTTTTTTTTCAAACAAAGTCTCAAAGATTACAGGCATGAGCCATTGCGCCCAGCCTGTGTTGCTTTTTTGTAGGCATGAGGTGAAGTTTTAGGAAGAAGCTTAGCAGAGTTGCTGTTTTATACCTAAAGTGGAGTCTAAATTTACTTCCTGGCCAGGCACGGTAGCTCATGCCTGTACGCCATGCCTGTAATCCCAGCACTATGGGAGGCCAAGGCTGGTGGATCACCTGAGGTCAGGAGTTTGAGACCAGTCTAGCCAACATGGTGAAACCTCATCTCTACTAAAAATACAAAAATTAGTCAGGTGTGGTGGCGCAGGCCTATAATCCCAGCTACTCAGGAGGCTGAGGAGGTAGGATTGTTTGAAACCGGGAGGCGGAGGTTACAGTGAGCTGAGGTCACACCACTGCACTCCAGCCTGGGTAACAGAGCGAGACTCGTATCAAAAAAAAAAAAAAAAAATTTACTTCCCATCAAACCTGCATTTGCCCAGTGCAGGATAGTAAAGCTAGCGATTTCTAAGGCCCCTTCAAGATCTGACATTCTGATTCCTTTCTTAGGATGAACATGGAGTGCTTCAGGACCAACAGGAGGAAGAGCCAATTTCTGAAACCATAATAGAAACGGAAATTCCCAGTATCAACTCTGATTTAGGAAATGAATTGTATTTTGTTAAACTACCCAAGTTTCTCAGTATAGAACCCAAGTAAGAGGAGTGATTAAAATTTTCAAGATATTGAAAAAAAAATCCAAATAAATATTTCTTATTTATCATTAGTTGAGTAATCATAAAGATGGAAGATTTCTCATAATTTTGAAAAAATAAATGTAGGATGTACTGTGGTAGAAAAATGAATTACTGTTAAGAGAATTTTAATGCTAATAATTTTTCTAGCATTTTGGCACTTTCTTATACATAAACAGATCATAATGGATGAAGGTGTTTTTCACTAGTATAAAGCTGAAAAATCAGAAATTAAGAGTGATAAAGTCTGCCAGAGAAATCACAAATATTCTGGCTGGACACAGTGGCTCATGCCTGTAATTCCAGCACTTGGGGAGGCCAAGATGGGCAGATCACTTGAGATCAGAAGTTCAAAACCAGCCTGGGCAAAATGGTGAAACCCCATCTCTACTAAAAATACAAAAATTAGCTGGGTGTGATGGTGTGCGCCTGTAATCTCAGCTACTTGGGAGGCTAAGGCGTGAGAATCTCTTAAATCTAGGAGGTGGAGCTTGCAGTGAGCCAAGATTATGCCACTGCACTCCAGCCTGGGCAACAGAGTGAGACTCTGCCTCAAAAAAAGAAAAATCACAACTGTTCAATGCAAAAGCCATTGTGAATCTATAAAAGACAATTATTTTGTACTACAAAATAGTGTCAGTCGGTATGAGTCACTAAAATACATGCATGCGGGCTCTTGTGCAATTAAACACAACACATTTTCTTAAAAAATATGAGAAGACCATGTGTTGCCTATACTTTAGAAGACATATTTCATCAAATAACATTTTGGATTGTTAGTTGCATTTGAATTTTATTTCCAGCAGTATGTTTTAGAAACAAATTTCAAGAAAGCATGGTAATTTGCATATTTCTTTGAAGGTTTACATGAAGTTATTTATCTACTGTGATTTTTGAAGGTGACACATTGTAGGGGTGATTAAATATAGTATTAATCATATTCCTTATTAAATATGGCTAACATGACATTAAAAACATAATTTTTAGACCTTTTGATCCTCAGTTTTATGAAGATGAATTTGAAGATGAGAAAGTGCTTGACGAGGAAGATAGAATCAGGTTAAAATTAAAGGTACCATCCCATACTTTATTGATTTTTTCTTTTAAGTTTTTCCTTTTATAAAGTAAAACAGGGATGACAACTTGAGACTTGAGCTTGGGAAATCCTCTTATGTTTCTTGTTCAGTAGCTCTTTAGACCTAGGAATTAAACATCTTTTCAGAATATTTTTATGGGAGGAGGTATGTGCCCTTTTTTATCCCTGTGGAATTGTCACTTTCTTTTTTGGTTGCAGTTATGCCTTTTTTGACATAAATAAAGATAAAAATTTTGAAAATTGTTAGCTACTTCCCTCAGGATAAATAACAATATAACAAGTTATATGGAATTACCTGCACATTTTACAGTGGGTGGATCCTGGCCATTTCCCACAATAGAAATGTTTTGACTCTTCATGGATATTCAAACTATGCACAAAAGAGATCTTGTCATTAGGTGGTTCCTCTCTAAGAAGGTCTGTGATGGCAAAGCACTATCAACTGCTCTCACAGGCATGTTGTTTTTCCTTAAGGGGGATTCCTTTAAAACATTTTTTTTCCTAAATTTAAAACTTTTGGGGTTTTGAGATGGGCCTCGCTGTTTTGCTCAGGCTAATCTCAAACTCCTGTGCTCAAGTGATCTTCCCACCTCAGCGTCTTGAGTAGCTGGGACTACAGGTGCACACCACCATGCCTGGCTAAGAATTTCCTATGAGTTTCTACAGGGGCTCCAGTGGTTAGCACTGGGCAGGGGCAATTTTTGTTGTTGTTACTTTTGTGACTTGGAGTTCTCTACCATATGGGTAGAATAAATTTAGACACAAAAACAGGGCAAAGCACTGATCTCGTTTTAATTTTTTGATTAGTTGTTTATTCTTTTTAAAAAATTGTAATTTCATGCGCAGAGCTTCCCTGTCTCACCAGGCGAATGGGGCACTCTTTAGCCCTGCTTTCATTGGGTTTATCTGCAAGTGGCCCCACTATCTTCAAGTGGCAGAGGTCTCATTCTAACTTTCTACCTCATGTGGACCCAAAGCCTCATGCTCTCTCCTTTGGATCTCTTGGTGTGTCTTGTCTCATAACACCTCCAGCCTGCATCCTACTTTAGCTCCTGTTTCCATTGCTATGAACTGGAGCTCAGAAAAGATTTAAAGAAAATGTCTGGTTAGTTTAACCAACATCTCTAGGTATTGGTAGCAGGTAGGTTTCAGTTTTGCTACATCAGCTAGTTTTTGTAAGCGTATTCTGTCTTTACCTATTAAGGTTTTACACAACATTACAAATCACTTGAAGAAAGAAGAACGTTTAGTTAGTTAAACTGGTTTAACTAACCAATGCCTTTGGGTTTTGAACCAGGTAGAAAATACTGTAAGATGGAGGATACGACGGGATGAAGCAGGAAATAAAATTAAAGAAAGCAATGCTCGGATGGTCAAGTGGTCAGATGGAAGGTGAGCACAAAATGCCTGAAGAATACTGGCATACCAAGAGGGAGGCCTGGGATGAGTGAGGTTTTCTTTGTAGAACTATCTTTTGGGGTCATTTTCTTCTTTTTTTTAAAGACAGAGTCTTGCTCTGTCAGCCACGCTGGAGTGCTGGAGTGCAGTGGCATGATCTCAGCTCATGGCAACCTCCATCTCCCAGGCTCAAGCAATTCTGCCTCAGCCTCCAGACTAGCTGGGATTACAGGCATGTGCCACCACACCTGTCTAATTTTTGTATTTTTAGTAGAGACAGTTCACCATGCTAGCCCAGCTGGTCTTGAACTGACCTCAGGTAATCAGCCCGCCTCAGTCTCCCAAAGTGCTGGGATTACAGGCGTGAGCCACCATGCCCGGTCTGGGGTCATTTTCACCAAAGGATTTACAAAAGTCTAGGTCTGTGGCATTACCTAGGAAACCTGAGATAAATAAATAGGGTGGAGGTCTTATAGTTGTGCTGGTGGTAACTTCAGAAATGAACTCAAGATGTGACAAAAGCGACTGGAGCTACCTTACTGATGTGAAAGACTAAAGTTAGCTCTCATTGGTGAGATATCAAACATGACAAAATGATATTTTGGAAAACTTGTTTCCGCTTTGCTAATGAAGTGACAGATTTGTAAAATTACAAAACAATTATATTTCGAGTTAAAGAGAGGATAGATTTTTACCACTTTTTACTTTGGAAGGAGGCAGGTTATTTACAGCATCTTTTCTGCTTTTCCTGTGAATTCAGTATGCGGACAGGATCTAGCAGTTCCACACTATTTTAAGCCAAGCTCGCAGGGCAGAATGGAAGCCATAGGACTCATTAAATATCCACTCTAATATTTGAACTGTTTCTCATTTCCAGCATGTCCCTGCATTTAGGCAATGAAGTGTTTGATGTTTACAAAGCCCCACTGCTGGGCAATTACAACCACCTGTTTATAAGAGAAGACACTGGTCTGCAGGGACAAGCCGTCTTTAAATCCAAACTTACCTTTAGGTAACTATTCACACCGACACATGATTACTTGCCATTAAAGAGCAATAAAGTTGAGATAGTACAACTCACCCCTGGACCATGGTCTGGTTCTCATACACCTTTTTCAAGTTTACTCCAAGCTGCTATTTCTCAGGGAGCCAGTTCATACTATCAGAATTCCCAGGAGAGTGATTACAACCCAAAATGTAGGTATATTAATCCACATTGATCAGTGCACTTGGTAAGAAGGCTGGAGGATTTGTCCTTGCAGCTCTGCTGCTCACCAAGTCCTTTCCCTGGAGTGAAATTGACCTGGGACATTGGCTGTCATCAGAATGGTGTTGATGTGTGCCAGCAACAGACCCAGCAGGCTGGGCTCTCCCCTCCCCTGAGGCTGCAGCAGCCTGTGCCTAAGCAGTTAGATGACGGGGCCAGGTAAGCTCACTGTTGTGGCCCCTTCTCCACACCTTCCCTCTGAAGGACACAGTACTGTTGATTAGGAGTAGGCTTTCCTCCAGAGGTGGAGTACTTAAAAGACAAGCACTCTTTTGGGGGACATGGAAGTTTTCTAAAATCAGATAGGGGTAATGACTATACAACTTTGTATATAAAAATTAATTGAATACTTAAATGAATGGGTGTTATAGTATATAAATAGTATTCAGTAATCTGTTGGTCTTTTAAGACTATAAATAGGGGTAGCTCTGAGGTTATGTAATCTTGAGGAAGGGTCACAATCTCACTAATTTCCAGCTTCCTTATCTATAAAATGGCGATAACAACATCTATTGCACAGGGATGTTATATCAATGAAGTCAAATAACACATGGAACATCACACAGAGACCTGGCACAAGTGGTGAGTGGTGCTCAATCCAGTCTCTTAATCATCTCTCCTAGAATAGCATCCTAAAAGATGCGTGATTCTGAGCTTGCTTTTTTTCACTGTCCCCCGTGCTCCATACTGGGATAATATTTGACTGCCTGGCACCATCTCATTCCTGATGTCCCATCTCTCTGCAGCCATGCTCTCTTCCAGAGACTCTCCCCTAAGGATCATCCTCCTCCCCTCTGATGTACTTAATTAAAAGCTGCCTTCCTGTAGGCAGGAAGACATTTCTTTCCGGCCTGGGACTTCTGGTCTAGCTGTATTTTTATCCCCTGGGCTGTTACAAGGCCCCTGCTGCTACTGTGACCTGCCTCCTTGCTTTGACTTCCAATTTTTTCCAGATGAAGAGACTCATCTTTAGTTCTCCAACTGTGCCTTCTGGAATCTGCACCTCCCTCTGGGAACCGAGATTTCATATTCCTTCTCTTCTCTGACTGCAGTCGGAGATATTCTTTGTAAAAGCCTTTGACCTTGCCAACTGCCTCCCCTCACTTCCACTGCACTCCCACTTCAGCCCAGTCAGCTTTCCCCAGGAGGTAGGGCAGAGGGAGGAGCTTCTCAGGAGGCTGGAGAAAGAACTGTGGTTCTGTTTCCTCTGTCTGCTGAGTGTGAGGTCCTTGTCCCCCGGTGTTTCTGCTATTGGTATGACTGCCTCCAAATGTTCTTAGTAACCAGTGAAACATTTTTGTCTACTTCCTGGCAGACCTCACTCTACAGACAGTGCTACATATAGAAAGATGACCCTGCCACTTGCTAAAAGAAGTTCTAAGACACAGAAAATTAGAATCTTACCTATGGTGGGTTGTGATCCTGAAGGCCAACACACAGAAGTGATGAAGGTATGTTTGCTAAGCTTTATCCTGGGAAATTCAGGGTAGTAAGACCTATGTTTTCCAGAACATTAATTCATCATTTCTTATTGCCACTGCTGTTTTATTTCTTGAAGTTATCAGGGAGCCAGTTTAACTTTCTTAGTGTGTAGTTAACCACAGTAATTATCAATGGCTTTTGGTGAGATTGTACCAAAGAACTCTGAAATCTAGAAAACTGATTATTTAACCTTTCACAAAAACACATTGTGAACTGCAATGTGTGAAACGCCACACAGATTTAAAATATGGAGTCTACTTTGTGGCTCAAGAACTGTCCCCTAGTAAGGCCTCCCCATTCTGTCATTGAAGCTATCGGGAGCTCTGGGTTGAGGGGTCAGGACAGGAATATCTGGGAGCCATAGGAGTTTGGTGGAGTCTGGGCAGGTCAGGTGGTTGTGGCTCAAGGATGAACAGCAACAGCCTCTGCTGCTCCAGGAGGTCAGTTTGGGTGAGTCGCTTCTCTCTGGGCCAAGTGGCAGCACAGAACACCAGCACAGCTCTGGAGGACAGGCCTGTGCCAATGCCAAACAAACAGGTTAGTGTCAGGGCTCCCTTCTGCCCCCCCCCCCTTTTTTTTTTTTTTCTGAGACAGTCTCACTTTGTTGCCCACACTGGAGTGCAGTGGTATGATCTCGGCTTACTGCAACCTCTGCCTCCTCGATTCAAGCGATTCTCCTGCCTCAGCCTCCCAAGTAGCTGGGGACTAGAGGCTCAAACCACCATGCCCATCTAATTTTTGTATTTTTTGATGGAGATGGGGTTTCGCCATGTTGCTGAGGCTGGTCTTGAACTCCTGACCCCAAGTGATCTGCCTGCCTTGGCCTCCCAGAGTGCTGGGATTAGAGGCATGAACCAATGTGCCTGGCCCCTTCTGCCTCTTCACCTTTGCATATCCTTCACACCTACAAACCAAAGGATCCACATGGAGTAACAGAGGTGTGACGGGGAAGATGATACTTCGAAGACACATGGGAGAGCTATTATCCTGGACTAGGCATTATGTCTTCTTTATGGTGAAAATAGATGCAAGAGGGCATCTTGTAGTAGTTTCTGTTTTAGGCTGAAGAGGTTATTTGCTTCTTTACAGAAGGAAGAACGCTTGAGGGCTTCCACTCACCAGGAGTCTCAGGAAATCCATCTGCAGGAGAAGCAGAACCAGCAGGGGCCAAGTGTCTCCTACCAGGACCCTGGCAGTGATGATGTGGAGGAGGAAGGCAAGGACACCTTCAGCCTGGCTGCCATTAAAAACTATTACCAAGGTGAACTCCAAGGTGAGTCAGGTGTGACAGTCACAGTTCATCATTTCAGGGTGACAGTGCCTGCTTTTGCTCTGGTGAGCTCTTACTCCTTGTCCTACTGTTTACTGAGAACAAAAGTACAAAGGCTTTTTGTTTTTCTTAGGGCTACTCTCCCAAAGAAAAGATTAGCTGTGAAAATATGGCATTCTCCAAATAAAATCAATTAAACAATTTATGTTGTTGTGGAGGGAAATGTATAAAAGGCAGTTCCGCCGAGTACGGTGGCTCACGCCTGTAATCCCAGCACTTTGGGAGGCCGAGGCAGGTCGATCATGAGGTCAAGAGATTGAGACCATCCTAGTCGACATGTGAAACCCCGTCTCTACTAAAAATACAAAAAATTAGCTGGGCATGGTGGCACGTGCCTGTAATCCCAGCTACTCAGGAAGCTGAGGCAAGAGAATTGCCTGAACCCAGGAGGCAGAGGTTGCCGTGAGCCCAGATTGCGCCATTGCACTCCAGCCTGGGTAACAAGAGCGAAACTCCGCCTCAAAAAAAAAAAAAAAAAAAAGGTTGGGTGCGGTGGCTCACGCCTATAATCCCAGCACTTTGGGAGGCCAAGGCGGGTGGATCACAAGGTCAAGAGATCGAGACCATCCTGGTCAACAAGGTGAAACCTCATCTCTACTAAAAATACAAAAATTAGCTGGGCATGATGGTACGTGCCTGTAGTCCCAGCTACTCGGGAGGCTGAGGCAGGAGAATTGCTTGAACCCGGGAGGCGGAGGTTGCGGTGAGCCAAGATCGTGCCATTGCACTCCAGTCTGGGCAACAACAGCGAAACTCCGTCTCAAAAAAAAAAAAAAAAAAAAAAAAAAAAAAAAAAAAAAAAAAAAAAAAGGCAGTTCCCCTGTTTCTATAATTGAAGACCCAATATTTAAGTTTCATAGTTCTTAAAATGATGTGTATAGGCATTTAGGTGCTCAAATAACCTCTTTAAGAACAAAACCTTTCAAATCTAGTCATTTCAGCATGTCTGAAAGTTCTACTTACTTTCCCACTGAAACTTTTAAAAAAAGTTAACTCCTTCAGGAAAAATGTACAGTGGGAAGTAACAATATTTGGCAGAAGAAACATTGAGGAATAAACCATCTTTGAAGGGTAGTTTCATGTCCAAAATTCCTTTGCTTGCAGAGGAACAAGCCAGAATCTATTCCTCAGACAGTGATCAGGGATCAGAAGATATGACTCAAAGATGAGTGAGAGCAAAGAAACTCAGTAATGAAGTAAGACCAAATGTATTCAATTCTCAGAATTTACCCTGTACTCAGGAGTCAACTGCTGGGAATACTGCTCACAGACTAGGCAGGCACAAATTAACTGTCTACACACTTGACTGAAATCCAGTGAGATCAGTGCAGCAGTAGGACTAGGGGTGGCTCAAAGGTCTGATACCTGTGCTCTGGTAGGTCTTGAAAGGCTGCATAGAAGAGGAATACTCTGCTGGGTGTTGAAGAATGAGCCAAAGTTTGCAACACACAGGCCAAGTTAGGCACTCTAGGAAGATGGAAAGGCCTGTAAAGAAAGGTGCAGGGCCTGAGATATCAAGTCTTGGCTACACAACTACAAATTGCTTCATGTGGTTAAAGCAAGGAGTGGTCTACCATGTTCACTGCAGGAAACTAGGTGTCTTTAAAAATTCATTTAATTAATTAATTTATCTTGAGATGGAATCTTGCTTTGTTGCCCAGGCTGGAGTGCAATGGTATAATCTTGGCTTGCTGCAACCTCCACCTCCCAGTTTCATGTGATTCTCCTGCCTCAGCCTTCCAAGTAGCTGGGGTTACAGGCACCTGCCACCATGCCTAATTTTGGTATTTTTTAGTAGTGACGGGGTTTCACCATGTTGGCCAGGCTGGTCTCAAACTCCTGATCTCAAGTGATCTTCCTGCCTCGGCCTCCCAAAGTACTGGCATTACAGGCATAAGCCACCACACCTGGCCTTTTTCTTTTTTTTTTTTTTTTTTTAAGACAGGGTCTTGTTCTGTTGCCCAGGCTGGCATGCAGTGGCATGATCATGGATCACTGCAGCCTCGATCTCCTGGATTCAAGAGATCCTCCTGCCAAAGCCTGCTGAGTAGCTGGAACGACAGGCATGCATTACCATGCCTGGCTAATTTTTAAAATGATTTGTAGAGATGAGGTCTCACTATGTTGCTTAGCCTGGCCTCAAGCAATCCTTCTGCCTTGGCCTCCCTGGTACTGGGATTATAGGCATAAGCTGTGGTACTTGGCTTAAAACTGGGTATTTTTATTGTTTGAATATAATAGTAGTTGAGGGGCTATCTCACTTGTTATAAAAATATTTTGTTTTCCTTTTATAAGATCAAAGAAATTTTAAGTCTCTCTTTTATTTTTATTTTTGAGATAGTCTTGCTATATTGCCCAGGCTGGAGTGTAGTGGCACAATCTTGGCTCACTGCAACCTCTGCCTCCCAGTTTTAAGCAATTCTTGTGCCTCAGCCACACAAGTAACTGAAATTTCAGGCATGCACCACCAAGCCCGGCTAATTTTTTTTTGTATCTTTAATAGAGATAGAGTTTCACCATGTTGGCCAGGCTGGTCTCAAACTCCTGGCCTCAAGTGATCTGCCTGCCTCTTGGCTTCCCAAAGTGTGGGGATTACAGGCGTGACCCACCATGCCTGGTCTTTATTAATTATGTAAGAGAATCACTATGGTATTGTCCATTGACCATATTAATTCATTCAATGTTTTCCTAACACATGCTCTGTTACAGACAAAAAATACAGACAAGAGAGACAGACAAGAAAAACTCCCATCACAGTGACAACAATGGTCACTCTGTGTTCATTTATTTTTCCCTCTTTCTATACAACACACATAGTTGTCCCTTAGTATCCACAGTGGATTGGTTCCAGGACTCAGAATATACCCAAATCCACAAGTGCTCAAGTTGCTTATATAAGATAGTTTAATTAGTATTTGCATATAAACTATGTACATCCCCTGCTTTAAATCATTTGTAGGATGGGTGCTTTGGGAGCCCAGCACTTTGGGAGGCTGAGGTGGGCAGATCATTTGAGCCCAGGAGTTTGAGACTCCCATCTCTTAAAAAAAAAAAAAAAAAAAATTAAAAATCGTCCCCGCTACCCAGGAAGCTTAGGCAGGAGGATCAATAGAACCCAGGAGTTTGAGGCTGCAGTGAGCTATAATCGTGCCACTGCACTCCAGCCTGGGTGACAGAGCAAGATCCTGTCTCAAAAAAAAAAACAAAAAAGAAATCATCTCTAGATTACTTATAATGTAATATAAATGCTATATAGGCTGGGCACGGTGGCTTACACCTGTAATCCCAGCACTTTGGGAGGCCAAGGTGGGTAGATTACCTGAGGTCAAAAATTCGGGACCAGCCTGGCCAACATGGTGAAATCCCATCTCTACTAAAAATATAAAAATTAGCCAGGTGTGGTGGCACACGCCTGTAATCCTAGCTACT